TGAAAGTTTGGTACCACTCTCATGTCTTTATGCACAATATGAAGCTACCGCCAGCTAATTAAGCTTAGCACAATGACTGGCAACAACTAGCCTGTCTAAAGATATGAAAATCTGTCATAACTGAGATGTAAAAACATCAGTTTTTTGCTTTAGGAAATACATTTTTCTTGGCTATCACTATGTGTTATCATGGCCAAGCTGCTTCCCTCATTTCCATTCTTTATGCTGAGCTGAGTTTAGGCAGCTGCTGCTGGTGGTAACTTCATGTTTAGCGTACTCTCAGGAGAGTGTTATAATCTTGTCATCTCAGCATAAAAGTCATTTTCCTATTGTCACTATTCCTCATAAAAATGCAATTGCTGTTCTCAGTTACACTATATCTATATATCTCTGTTTGCCTCAGTGTGTGTCTGTGTTTATGCTGCATTTCTCGCTTCTGCTGTCCTCAGTAGAAGAGAAAACCCTCAAAGAGAACATATATTTACACAAAAGGAAGACGCCTACAAAAACCATTGCTTGTTTGTCCAAAGCCTGCGTAGTTATTGATTTCTGTAGTGAAAAGATCTTCAGTGCTACGCAGTGATTACATTTTTATTCAACATCTTTACCAGGAAACACGCCACTGAGTTCAGACTCCTGGCTCTGCACCCTGTGAAGTATCGGTGCATAGTGGCTGCTCACATGAGAGATGAGTGTAAAAGAGAGGAAGAATAAATGGAGCATGGCTTCAGCCAAAAACACATTGATTCCCCCCCCCCCCCTCACTACCTCCTCTCCGCCTCTGATAAATGCCTCTCCTTGTTTTGGTTTAATGTGCAATGGTGCTGGGTGCACGCAGGGTGAGACCCGGAGAGGCACGTCAATGCACCCCCCTTGGCTGTGTTATCCCTGAGCTACGGTCAGTGGGGGTGAGCTTCAGGAGAACTCTGTTGTGAAATTTCATTTCACGCTTTGTGTGTTTATTGATTTTTATTGGTCTTTATAGAAAAATCAGTCAAGATATTGTCAAAAGGCCAAGTTCCTGCTGTACTCACTGTCTTGAAACAGACAGAATCAGAGTGAGGAAATGGAAATGGGCAGCTTTTCCCCATTAAGCATGGAAACATTGGAGCAAATGTTGATACAGTATTGATACAGTGTGTGTGTGTGTGTGTTTTTTCTGCCACTCTAACCTTTACTCTTAGAGGCCTGAGTCTCGGCCTCCTTCGGCGTTCGAAAGCGCAACGGTTCGCTCAGTGGGCTCATTCCAGACATGCTGATGGACTGGACATGCACAATGTAGTCTGTCTCTTCCTCCAAGTCCCATAATGCACAAGAACGTGTGGTGGTGTTGACTTCCTGGATGAACCGCAGCATGCGCACGTCTTTCTTCTGTTGGAGCATGACACAGACACAGGAGAGACTGATGAACGTTATTTACAGCAGGAAGGCAGATGTTATCTTGTCTGCTCTCTGACAGCAGCGTACACTGACTCTCTAAGAGGAGGTGGTCAAAATGATAAAGGGTCAACAGCCACCGTTCAGAGGTTACACTTTAGAATCACACAAGACTGGTTATGCATAGTCACTTCAGAAACTATTTTTGCACACTTTATTGTTTTGTAGATTTAATTTTAAATAGATAAAATAAGCATTTTTGCCCATAAATATATTGTATATTCATTGACCTATTATAACAAAGCTTAAACATGTTTTTGGAATTGTTTGTAAATATACTAAAAATTAAAAATTGAAACCTCTCATTTACAAATGTATTCAGAGCCTTAATCCAGTACTTTGTAGAAGCCCCATTATTAGCAATTACAGACTTCTTGGTTAGGTCTCTACAAGCTCTTTCCATCTGGGCAGTGTATCTCCAGTCAGAGACTTGTTCTGAAGCCACTCCAGTGTTGTAGGCTTTTGGTCATGTCTCAGGTTGCTGCTTTTTGGAGCAGGTTTTCTTCAAGGATCTCTGAATTTATCCCTCCATCATTTCAGACTAGTCTCCCTGTCCCTGAAAAGCCCCCAGAGCATGATGCTACCTCTATCGTGCTTCACCGTAGGCCTGGTGTTAGCCAGGTCATGAGCAGTGCTTGATGATAGTGCTTGGGGTTCTGCCCAGAGAGTTCACTTGATGTCTCATCAGACCAGAGCACCTTTTCCCTCATAGGCTGAGTTCTTTAAATGCCATGTGCCCAAGTTATCTACCTTTTACTCACAGCGACTTCTGAGTAGCCTGATTGATGGAGAGCTGTTGAGGTGGTCAGAATTATGAATGTCACAGGAAATGGTCTGAATAACATGAAAAATTTTAATTTTTGACTTTTAATAATTTGTCAAAAATGTACTAAAATATGTTTCCATGAGTGTAGATTCACAAACATGTCAGTTTTATGCATTAAAATTTAAATCCCCATCACAAAAGTGTGCTAAACGTGAAGCCACAGTAGCTAATGGAGGGATCCAGCTGGTCATTTATTGGCACTAGGGCTGCTCAGGAAGCCATCTTGGGTGACATTATGGTAAGATTATGTTTGAATGTGTCCCAGAAATCCTGCTCCTTTTGGAAATAATATTGTCGCTTCAACCATCATACCACTGCATTTCAGTTTCCCCTGCCTACACACCTTGCTGCCACTGCCAGCAGCTGACCCACACTGACCCTCCAGCTGTCTTCCTCAATCATGTCACTCCCAGATCTTGTGAATGCGTCTGTCTGTGTGTCTGTGTGTTTTCATCCATAAAATCACAAGATGGCACATTGTCCTATGTAAGTAATGCGATTAAAGTGTGGGTGTGAACTGAGGAATGTGTCTGCATGTGTGATGGCAGCAATAATATCACTTTCCCCCTTTCACATAGCTGTCTGCTGTTGTCAGAGAGCAGACAGGCAGCCTGACAGGATGCAGCATCCTGTGATAACACCTATAATGCACACTGACACACAACAACACAGTAAAGAAAACTAGACATGACACTAAACAACCAGTGATTAACCACAACAAAATGTAATTTGTGTGTGTGTTTGAGTGGCTTATACTTGCAAATGTCTGTGCAGATTCTCAGTCATCCAGGTCATAGTAAGCTGAAAAAAACTTAGCAAACTTAGAAAAAAATCAACTGGAATAGGTTTCTAGGTCGAAGACCAGTTGATTTTTTCTAAGTTTTTTTCAGCTATACTTGCAAATCCAACTGTATGCACCCTGTTACACTGGCATACCTATATCCAGCATGCTGCGGTGTCTCTACTCTGTGTGTGTTGTTCACCTGCTGTGTGATGGCAAAGCCAATGACAAAGTCTCCCTCGGGGATGTCCCATGTCACCACAGCAGAGTTAGCTTTCAGTGCTCTGATGGTCACATTGACAGGAGGCGACAAGCTATCTGCAAACAGACGGAGGAAGAAACAAAAGCTTGTTTTATCTTCTGTGGTGCAACACAGTTGAGAAGTTCAGCTCTGTTGTATTTCTACCAGTTGGCCATTGGCATGGCAGGAAGCCAAACTCAGTGGTGTGAATAAATGGCTCAGCTGAATCCATTGTGTAGGGTGGAATCAATGACATAGTACAAAACCACAAAACAACTCCTCTGCATTACAGCAGTACTGCCCAGGTTTCAGTGGACACTGTTTATGATGTGGAAAGATCAGTGCAGTCCGTGAGGCAAACTCTCTCTCACCAATCAGGAAATTAAAACTAGTATGATTTGGAAACAGTTTTCTGAAACAGTTTAACCGTGTATGTAGGAGCCTCACCTGCTGGGCTGCTCTGGGGTTCCCTAATGGTGGCATTTTCTCATCTTGCTCCAGTGCTGGTGGTTCGGCATTGATCGATTATTGTTATTTAGTTTTTTCTTTTCTTCTACTTTTTTAAATGATTAACTTTTATCTATTTTTTTTATTTTTCTTTTCTTCTTCCCCCTCTCTCCTTTTTATTTTATTACCAGACTCCATATAGAGTTGCACATATACCCACACAACACACCTTTACACACAAACCATGTTAAATTCCCCTGCACTCTTTTGTTAATGTCCAGTGTTTTGTTTTGTTACAGTGCTGTTTTGTTGCAATAAAATATTGTGTGTAAAAATTGAAAACAAACAGCCCTGACATTCAGCAACATTCAGCAATAAAGTTGATGATGATGAACTAAGCTCAGTATGTTCTCATATTAACATAGACAGTGATAAAGCTCGTGCTGCTCTCACTGGTTCAAATAGTACAGTAAAACTACAAAATGTCCCTCAGTTATGAAATGGGGAAGCTTCTTGTATACATGAATTGTTTTCTGTTCATCACAAAAGCAATGTACAACCACAAATGTATCATATAGAAAATTATCCAAGAAGTACAAATCATTAGTAAAACTCAGAAGCTACAGTTTTGTAAACTGAAACCATCATGGTACAAAGCACCTCCCAGACATTTTACTTTTAAATATAAACTCCCCTTTTCAAAACCAGCCTTTCAAACCTTAGTTTTATTTTTATATGTTGTGAGGATTTACAATGTCCTGCTGTTCAATACTGAACACTAATATTGCTTCATTAATCACTCTCCATCGCTGACTCCTATAACTGGTTCATAGCTGAACCTAATCTTAACACTGTGGTATATTCTCATGAAATTCTTTTGCTGACTCCTTGCTGGAATGTGTTTTGAAAGATTTTGTGAAGTACTGCATGAAAAAAGTACCATTCAATTCTAATAAAATAAAATATGCATTGCTGATTTTGGACACATTCAATATCAGCAAGATATCCCAAACTGGACAGTGTGTACAACAAATGTGTGTGTTTTCAGTTAGGTGTCGTGCTCCATGTTTAATAGGGGTCACAGGCTACAAGATATGAGAATAATGATTTGTTTCATTACATAATTAAGTGTGAGGCTGTGTGTATTTGTCCACGTGTATTTTGGTGGCCCCAGCTGCTGTCAAATATGAGTCTACAGTAATTACTGTTACTAAATAACATGTTGCTCTACACACACACATACGTACATCTAATGGCTGCACTCAGTGTGTGTGCACATCAGATGATCAAAGTGCCCGCAGCAAAGGAGAACACATCACTTTGCTTCAAATTAGAGTGTAATGGGTTTTTTCCCTACTTTTTTTTGCACATTTTCTTTTCTTATACATCTGAAGTGTGAACTGTGTCAGTCATGATTGACAAAAATGTTTAGCATCATAACATCATTGCGTTGCAGTACAGGCATAATGACTATGAGTTGATATTCTGTGATAAAAAAAATGTGATAGTATTGTTGAAATGTTGAACTAAACATGGATCTAAGTACATGTAATCTGTTATAAAACCTAATGTGTTTCATTTAGATGTACTGTATTTATTTAGATAGATATATATATTTAGATATAATTTATATATGATAATGTGTGCCAGGTATACAATATATATAGGATATACACAATAAGTAAATGTACATGGGGTATCTGTGTATTTCAAACTTGTGGGGTTGTTTAAATTTTATTAAAACTGTGAACTGTCAGATGTCTAAACTAAAAGCTGCCTGTAAATGTTGACATGCAGTCAGTCTATCAATAAAATCATCTGAAGGTGCTAGGGCTTGTGGCCTACAAAGAGAAACAAATTATATCTTGTGCACAAAATGATTGCTTTTCAAAACAGCAGATATTTATATACCTCTAAATGTATTTCCTTACAACTCTGTGCTATAATTAACTGTAAACCATACTGTGGGTGGTTACATTTTAAAACCCTGGTGTTCAAGAACTGATGCATATTTGCATCCTATTCACTTTCTGCCATTACACTTGAGTTTGAACTTTATTTATGAAATGTATGCTGTACTGTTCAGGGTGCTGTCAAACCATCCTGATAATGCTGAAATTAATGTTGCACCTGTCAATGGTGGCACAAAACAATGATTAATGCAGTAGTTTCCTCTTCAGTATTGTGCAACTTATTGAACATTAACAATGTGAAAGGTGCTTATTTAGGTTCTAGCTGAGAGCTAGATGAGAAGACTGATTCCACTTTCATTTCTGTGCAGTCATTATGAGGCTGCAGCTGACAACCTATTAGCTTTAGCTTAGCATAAAGACTGGAAACGGGGGAATCTGTTAGCCTAGGTCTGTCCTTACATTAGTCTGGCTTTTTACAGATTAAACAAATGAGAGATAACATGTTCGTAGAGAGATTTGGAGGTGCTGGTAGCCAGATGTTGGTACCTTCAGACATAGCCAGGCTAGCTGTTTCCTCCGTTCCCTGTCTTTATGCTAAGCTAAACTATCTGCTTAATGACCATATAAAATACCATAAAAAATACTGTATGAGACTGTGTCTTTGTAGTGAACGTTCTGTAAGCACGTTTCCCAAAATGTTGAACTTTCTGTAGTAGTATGTGTTTATCATGACAGGTACAGAGAATGAGTGAAACAGGCGGTGGCTTCCTATAGTTTTTTTTTGTTTTGTTTACTGCTATCAATTTACTTTCATTCAAATTCCTTACAAATGTGTTGTTTACTGCTATCAATTTACTTTCATTCATTCATTTCATCTACTGTATAATGCCTGTATCCTGTATTATACTGAACTATGAAAAGTCTGTTACACCTTTAAGTTGCAGGCATCAATTCTTATGAATCACTGTGGCCTTCTGGGATTGATTGGTATTTGTAATGCGACACAGAAATGAGAGAGATGAATTACAACATGGCGAAGTGGCCACTGTCTGTGATGCTGCTTTTCTCTCTTTATTGGGAAATAAATCTGATTCATCCAACCAAATGCATTCAGTAAGTTAGTAAATAGATTAACACTCAGTTCCCCTTCAATGGAGACAAATCACACAGCTGGTAAACAGGACAATTTTCTGCTACTGTACACAGCACATGTGTACACGCTGACACACTGTGCAGTCATGTTTGCACTCAGCCTGTTGCTGATGCTTTGATGAATGGCCTGACTAACAGTAAATGACAGGATGTAGACCTGGATGTAGGTCATCAGGGATGCACTCTGATGTTTGAAGTGACTTTGCTGTTGTTTACTGTCTGCTGTTTGTTTGCCATTTCCTGAGAAGCCCGAGGCAGCTGATGGGACTGAAGAATTCACAAATCAAACTCATTAACTCTTATTTAAGTCCTCTCTCACTCTTTGTTTCTCTGTCGTGGACTATTGCTGCTCTCAGAACACAGTGACAGCTAACGTTAAGCTCCTGAAGTCCCTAAGGAAACACATCAACACATTGTGACTATGACACAAATCATTGCTTTGTTTACACATGGTTAAAAGTTCCTGGTTAGTACTTCAAAGTCTTTCTTCCTTTACAGCTTTAAAAAGAGCCATACCTAAAAAGAAGATCTCAGAGGGGGTACTCCAGTGTTTTACTACTGCACTTTGATAGAATTTGGATACTTGTGAGAGACAGGTTAAAATAAGTGCATAGAAATAATGGTCAAGACTGGTTCAGATATCCTGATGATTATGTTGATTAAGCATTAGGTCGGTACTAAGTAAAAAAAAAAATAAAAAAAAAGACATGTTTAGTTCTGGTCCAACAAAATAAGAGATGTAAACATGATGTCGCATGGAAAACTGTGACCCTATCCTTTAATAATGGTTCAGGTTTTGAATTCATAAATGATATCTGCTACCATAAAATCTTGTGGTCGGTCCAGCTGCTTTTAATGATCACATCACTGTGGTATCACTTCTCAGACTTGACAAAGCTCCTACAGTACTATAGAAGACAACTCCTCATAACGAGTAAAGGGCTGTGGCTCAGGAGGTAGAGAGGGTCATCTCCAAACCGCAGGATTAGTGGAGAGGTGGGGAACAGAGTTTCTTCAAATGCCCTTGTAGGTTTTCCTTAGCACTCTGCAAAACAAAGCATCTCTTTGAAAGTCCTCATATACCACTGCTTCCAGTCAAGTTTTGCCAATATTCGCCCATCTCCCCTCCCCTGAATGACTGCATTACACTGAGGGACAATGAGAGCGGACGTTGACCGTGACCGCGGGCCATAAATAGCCACATTACATGAGAGTCAGTGTTAATAAATCACTGAACAGATATCTTCATAATCTCCCTCTCATCGCTGTGACACACAATGCGCCTCATGCTGAGACATGGGGGTGACTTTGAGCCATAACCGAAGTCCCTGGTGCTTGTGTGCCTTTGTTTGCCCAGTGATGATCAGAGTGACAGCTAGTTGTCTGTCCCATGCTGAGCAGTGTGAAGGGTGACAGCTCCTTAATGTCCTTGCTCATTAAAGACCTCACTTGGGGAGGGTGTCTGTGTGTATGTGAAACTCCATACAGTCAAGCAGAGGAAGCTAAGTCGCTGTTTCAGAACAGATGTTGTGAATACACACACACAGACACACACTCAGCAGTGC